GTATACTGTTCACATTTCGGCTTTACAACACTATTGCTTTCTGAAACTACAACTAATATGTCTCTATATGACTTATTAAATTTGTTTTCCCGCTGACCACTTGTATTTCGGTCATTTCTACCTGCCCCGCTCGTCGCCCGTGATGTAGTAACTCCCTAATCGTGAAGCTCCCACAACAAAATTGAAAAGTTAAAGCACGCAAAGAACCCGTGAAAATATGAAATGACTTATCCTTACCTTGGAAACAAAAATCCCCAAGAAACAAACATGAAATTCCGAATAAGTTCTCCAAAACCCAACGACTGAGAAGAGAAATGGCCGCCGTACAATACCCTATGAAAAAACGCCGACTGGAATCCAGTCTTCACGGCTCACTGAACGCAAATAGAAACCACGTGACAAGCACTTCTCTCTCGTGGACAAATAAATAAAGAAATAAATTTCGCGGGCGTTGACAGAGTGTGGGAAATCCCACACAAAAACCTCGCAAGGTCTAAATTTGGATCCAACAAATCATCAGACAGTGTCACAAAATGTATTTGAAATGCCTGCAGAAATATCACTAACAGAGCTAAAAGAATATGAAGGAATAACACCACCCTACACTATAAGGCCAAAGATTGTGCACTTACGATATGATTCAAAACAGAAAGATCAATTCGTTATCTTTGACACAGAAACGACTTGCACAGGGAAGCTAGCTGAGATGTGCCAACTGTCAGCTGTAAGTGGAAATGGGAAACATGAATTCTCCACTTACATTCTCCCAAAAAGCTACATAAGTTACAGTGCCTACCTTGTCAATGGTATGACCATCAAGAACATAAAAGGAGTAAGAACATTGTGCCATTGTGTCGGGAAAACGACTAAAACATCTTCCTCTAAGCAAGTGATTCTTCAGATGCATTCCATCTGCTTTTCCTTTAAGGATATGACATCAGTAAAAGTTTGAAGAGATGAAATTAAAGCAGCTGAAACTTTGCTGTTCACTCCGGCAGTCGCCAAAAACGGCTTTGTGTTCTGAAATTGTACCGGAAGTCAGATACGCAATCACATACGTATGGCTTTTTCAGTATTTAGTATATTTATATCTATTATATCTATTTTATTTGTGCCAATTTCGCTTATTTTATCTTATTTTCGCTTGAGCATACGGGAGATCTTGACTGCGTCACGTAGATGAGCAACCAATCATACCCATTGATTTATTTAATTTATTTGATTCATTTTGCATTGATCCTTGATCCTTGATCCTTGATCCTTGATCCTTGATCCTTGATCCGATGATCCGATGATCCTTAATCCAGTTTTTCCAGGAAATCAGCAGCCCTAGGTGGTACGCATTGCGATACCGCCTGACGGACCGAGAGAGACAATCTCGCACCTGTCTATAGTTGCTACCTTAGAAGTATGGCAACCAAATATGTCTCTAGTTTATGTTGGAAAAAGTTCCTTAACTTGGTCTTCGTCTTATTTCTACTAACACCCGCCGTAGTAAACTTCTGGCGAGGAACATGGTATTTGTTCGACCTTTTCCTTTTTCCTGGTGACGCAGTTGTCAGTGCCATAGTTGGGGCCACTGCGAGTTTCGGAGTGATTTTCATGATAACAGCAATAGAGGATCATTTAAAGAAATTTCTAAACGGTGCGAAAGCGAAAAATGCATTGTTTCGCGTTCTTATTTACCTTCTGTCGATCTTGTGCGTCGCTTCATGGAGAGGTCTGTGGATGATAGTGGATTATTACACTACTAATTCTTCTACAAGCGCCGGTGTTTCCCATGGAATTGGATTCTTTATTGTTTTGATGTTGAACACGCCGAGATCTATAATCGCTGTTCCAGGTTACTGCGTCAGTGAGAGACAGACTGAACCATCAGAAGTAATTCTTACCGTTAAGCATTGTTTAAGAAGCAAGACAGCATGTTACTCACGGATATGGAATAGTTTTGTGACCGTCTTTATTATTGGTGCGGGTGTTATAGTGTATTGGAGGGGGACATGGATAATCGTGGCTAGTGTGACATGGCCATGTGGGTCGAAATTTAAATCTTCAGTCCTTGCTTTAGGCCTGGGGTATGCTGTATTCTTTGCATGCTATTTCATGAGCGAGTACTTGTTGTCCTCTGAATTATACATGGCACATGTCTTGTTGCTGCGGGCCATGCAGACGGTTGTGGAGAAAAGCTTCGTTTACCTACTGGGGTTTGGAGTTGTGGCTTCATGGCAGGGCATATGGCACTTGATGGATGTATACCTTTTACCAGGTTGGTATTGCTCTTATTGACTGGCTTAGCAGTCAACATAAGGGCTTGTGTACAATAGCAAAATAAAAACCCAAAAATATCAAACCCCACACCAACCAGGTAAAAAAAATATGTATATCACACTAAAAGTCACAGTGGCAAATTCTTGTGAGAAACAGCATGATAGATATTTCCTGATACAAGTTTCTAGACTAAAGTCTTCTTGAGTCTATTTCAACAAATTGTGACCAGTTTGAATTTGAACAAATTGTTTGAGGGAAAGTATCCATCTCAGGTACAAAAATCTTCACAACAATATTCCATGCCACTCAAAGTGAATTATGGAATGTCAAGTTGCCAAATGTGTCTTAACCTTACCTGAGATCCACATAATCAAAAGCAATTGGAAAACTCATCTCTCTCCCTTTCAGGATACTTCCCTACTTCCCCTTCTGCTATGAGTGTGTTGCAAAGTGTCTGAGATTCTGAACCTGTTCTGGATAAATATGCAGCTCAATTATTCACAAAAATGTTATGTCTATTTCAAAATTAGCCTGAGCACATTTTAGTGACAAAGTGACCTGTTTATGAATAACTGTAAATTCATATTAATTTGCAGTTTTTCTTTCACCCTTCAAATTAGATCAGCCTATAGTCAGTGCCTTGGTAGGGCATTTTGTTGCTGCTGGTGTCCTCTTTCTCTTTCAAGGAAGTCTTAACCTACTTAGTGCTCCTGCCACCTGTGCAATTTCTGACGAGTTAATGCTTCATGGGTTTCATATGGGGAACTTTTTAAAAATAAGGTCTGAAAGCTCTAAAGCTGGTGAAAACTATTCACTAGAGTACCATCTTCCTGAAGAAAATGCGAATTCTAGCTATGCTGAGATTTTGTATATGAGTACTATATATAAAAGTAACTAACTGCCAATTTTGTAACTGTCAGTAAATTGATAAATATTTATTTAGTTCAAAATGACTAAAATGAAACACGCATGATTCCCTGTTACGCTGAGTTTCATGCTTACACACTCATCAGACAGATTTAATGAAAACATTCCTGTAGGCTAATTTATATATACAAGAAAAAAAGGTAGCTGCTGATTACAATAGGTTGTTGTTATATAATAGCTGAGAAAAAGCGAAAATTACAATGGGTGTGGATGTATTAATGAGAGACAATGAGGCAGTAGGTGTGAATATATTGACTAAAGTCTATTGTAGCAGGGAGGTGTCATATGTTCTTTAGATAAAACTTGTTTCTGTGATGGCATTTGGATATAAGTTCGGATCTTTTATTCAGCAAGTTGTTGCTGTTGAACTTAGTAATCATGAGTTTTTCAGTCAGGCAAAGGTTGCATCTTTTCGTCATGTTGTTGTAAGGCCTGGCTCTTGCAATAATGGACCATTTTATGTAGAAGTTTATTGAGTTGTCCTTCAGTTGCCAGATGTATTTGGATAGTTCAGTGTTGTTAGTGTATTTTCTGTGTTGGAATGTAATCTTGTGTTGATTAAATCTTTGTTTAAAAGTTCCTTTGGTCAGTCCAATGTAATTCCTAGGGGTCGTTTTGTTATCTGTGGTGGTGATTTGTGCATTGTAGATAATGCTGGAAGACAGGCAATTGTTGTTGAGCGGGCACTGTTCTTTAGATCTGCAGTTGCAAAGGCTTTCATTGTTGTCATGGTTGTTGTTGTTAGATAGTACATTTTTTGTTATGTTTTTTGATAATCAATCCCATGTTCTCCATACAACTGTAGCTGACCTTTACGTTGTTCTTGTTGAATAAACTGTGGTATTTGTGATGTTTTGGAAAATGCTTCGATACCAGTCTAAGAAATGTTTTGCTGATGTTTGTTTGTACGTTGTTACTAAAAGGAGGGTTGTACCAGATAATGTTTCTTTGTTGGGTTCTTCTGGGTCGAGTGGTCTGTCTGTGCTTGTTGTTGGTTAGAGTTTTCGTATGTCTGCTGGATTTGTTTAGCATTATTTTATTTATTATATATTATTATTTTATTTAGCATTTTCTTTGCATGAATGTTGCATTTATTACAGATTTTAGTTATGGTAAATATGAAAAGGTTACTAGCATTATTAGCTCTGAAAATTATTTAATACCGTAATTAATAAGTCATAAAGCATCTTCCCTGTATAGATATTGCATTTATGTTGAAGGTTAATACTGTTAAGTTATAAAAGCTGTTATCAACTGTTCAAAATTGCTCAATTTTTGAAAGTCACAACCCTTCAAAAGTGGCATATTCAAAAGAAAAATATGCCTATGCTATTAAGGAAATCATTGATAGAAACAACTCTTATAGGTTAGAGTGGATGAGCAAAACCTTAAACTTAATCAAATGAAGGAAATTGGAATTCTAAATAGCTTTGATTAGGGAAAATGAGAATTACTTGACAAAAAATCCTGAAAAGTGTTTTTACTCTCACTTACCAACTGAGAAGTCATTAGTGTAGGCAGCAAGGCCATACACAATGTTATAATGTAACAAAGATCAACAATGTTAAGTTGATGGTAAAGGTTTTAGGCTCACTTTCTCATAGAGAGGTGTTGCTCAAATTTCTTTCAACTCTGCTTAGTCTTGTTCTGGTTCATTTTTTACTCACCAAAAGCCTTTACTGCTGAGAGTGACTAGCATTTAATTTCTCCTTACAGTTTTACCCCTAAATCATCCATTAAGTTCATGAGAAAAGAGGAAATGATCACCAAATAAAGACACTCTTGATTACCATACAATTCTCCTTGTCAGCACCTTAGGATGTTTATAGAGAACAGCATGGAGAATATGCATATTGATATTAGGGTACAAATGGTTAACCCTGAAATATGTGACAGGAAAAAGGTACTAAATTTGAAAGTTTGATGAGGGTTGTTACCTCTGAACTATTTGAAAGTTAAGAGGGCTCTTTTTCTATTTGTGCCAACAAACTCTGTTTTTTTTTCCCCATAATTCTGGCATTGTAGAAAGTAATAGAGTAGGTTATTTTCTGATTTGATAACAATGCTTTCTTCTTTATATTGACAAAAGTGATGTTGCATATGTAACAGAAAAACACCTTTTCAGTTCCGAAGGAGATTTTTAAGATGTGTATTATTAGAATTATCTTCTAAAACCACCACTGGTTTCTTTTAATGTATGTTAAGAAAAATTGATATATACATGTTTTCTTTGTGAAAGTGCAGTGAGCCAAATAAAACTTAATCCTTTACACCCTAATATCACTATGCATATTCTCTATACTTTTCTCTATACATTTCCTAGGATCTAACAGGGAGAATCTGTAACATCATCAAGAGCTTTGTCAGTTGGCAATCATTTCTTTTATTCTCTTTAATTAAACCCTTTACTTAGGGAGAAATTAGAACTTTGAACCTTACTCTTAGGGATTAAAGTGGGGTTAACATATGATTCAACATTACATACTTGAATTTGAAACACCATAAAAATGCTGCATTTCAACTTAAATTACCGAATAGAGAACAAGGAAATGTCACAAATGTAACCTTTTTCTGTGGATTTACAAGGAAAGTATTGTTGGGCATAATCTGTGGCTTTAATTTGAATACCAGCTAGGCTGTTAAAGAAATGTGGAACTTCAAGTGTTCCTTCCAAAACCCCTTTATCCTTTAAGGCCTTCCTCACTCTTTGAGTGTTTGTTTATTGGTCATTAACAATGCATTTTCCCTGAAAAATTGTGAAGAATTTTCTCGCAGATACTGTACATACCACAAAAGATTGTGTAGGTTAATGAATAACCTAGATTGTGTTTCCATTTCCCATTCCTCGTTTTTCTTGAAACAAGATGAATTATCCACGCGCTGCAGACAATAACAGCCTTTCAAACGTTTTTGATACTTTGCGACGATTTTGTAAGATGGAGATAGGTCTAAGAGCGCCTAGCAACAATTTAGAATGTGGGAAGTTTTGTCTGCGCTGAAATCGAAACATGAAATAGGCTGTAAAAGGTTAAAAAACTTAGCTATGTGAATGGGTTTGTTTGTTTTGTCTAATTTTTTTCAGCTGCAAAGATAGTGTGTTGCCTTAGGATATTATTTCAACTAGACGCATAACTGCATGAACTTGGGCTTACTTAGGGTGCGTTTAAATTAGCAAATTTTGGGGTGATTTTCAAAAATTTAATTAATTTTGTCTTATCCTTCTGAATAAACATCTGCCGAGTCCATCTTGGTGCCCTTAATAAAACTTTAGAAAGCAATTCTTCACCATTCTTTACTATGATGGAGATCATTAAAATCGCAGCAGAATTCGTGGTATGCAGTAATATTGTATGTAGTGTGCTAAATGCAGAAATAACGAAAGACAATGTATTGTTTACATGCACAATATGTAAATCAAGTTTAGGCAAGGAAAATATCTCCCTGCTGAGGGTCTCTATTGGGCCAGGGTACCTACTGGATGGATAGTGGTAGCAATTTGTTACTTGACTTTCATTAAATAATAAGAGGGAATAGACATATTTTAACCTTTTTGTGGGTTTAAAAATACATGTCATACAGAAAACTGAAAACCACATCAAAAACCCTGTGCATTCACTATTATTTCTTACAAGATTTTCAAGAAGTAATTTGCTGTCAATTGAATCAGACAATATTCTTTCACTGTAATCACTTTAAGGATCTAAACTTACTTCAGTTCCACAAACATCAACAGTTTTTGGCATATCATCTAACAGTAAATACTTGTTGAAAGATGAATTTTTGTATAATCTTTTGCCATACTGAATAACACCAGATAAGGTGTTTGAATTCCAATAGCTACATGATTTTATTACAGAGTAGCAGAGTGAATAAACAGCCACAGCACAACTCACATTGAACTTTCTGGTTTCACAGGCATGACTCTGAAAAAGGGTATTATTTTGAACTTTATTAATGTTAACCCCTTTCAATTCAAATATATCATTGTTATTCATACTCTGAAAATAATATAATAAGCTATTCAGCGATGATACTTCAAGCAGCACACATGTACCTTGAGGATGGCTTCTACCATAAATATCCCTTGTATGAGAATTGAATATATTCAAGCCCACATTACCTTTACAATAGATAGCAACTGCAGTACATCCTATTGTCAATAAAAAATTGTTGAAATTTTCGGATATAAGTGATTGAAAGACTCTATCTAAGGAGGTACAGTACTGATATCCTTCTATTGTAGCTTCTTGATGAATAGTACCAGTGTAGCTCTCACTGTATTGAAGTTTATAGTCAGTCTCGAACACATTTAAAAGTGTGGGTAATTCTGTCTGCATTAAAAATGATTGGTTAACTGAGACAAACTTTAATACAACTGATTTCCAATATTCATTGTTGACACGAGATCATTAGCAGAATTGATTCCTTGTTTGTTATTGTAAATCAAAGAGCATAAACTCATTGTAACACATTGTTGTCCTGAATTCTGTTCAAATACCAATTCATTAGCTTGGCTATATGGTGTCATTATTGTTTTGCTAGGGTCAATGTACATTGGAGTAGGACCAGGGTTTTTCTCTATATCTGAACTCAGTTGAAATTTACAATAGTTTGATGCGCGTGTCTGACTCTTGTAAAGACACATGGGTCTATAATTACAAGAAAACATTGTTAAGTACCTACTTGCTCTATACTTCAGTTTAATTATCCTTTGATATACCCTTACAGAACAATTCAACAAATACTTCTTATCGTGTTTTGTAACTTTATTCAATCTTACCCTCTTCGTATTAAGCTTACAATCATTCTTTGTAACTCTTCTAACCTTCACATAACGACGTAGCCAAGAGGACTTCGGTATGCTTGGACGATTACGCTCTTAAATAAATTCCTTCAGTTTTCTGCCCTTTCTTCTGAGACGTTTCAGAGTAGCTTCTGGTACTCTACTGTGTTCTCGATCACGTCTAAATACACGGTTGTGTTCACATGTAAACATAATATTGGATAACTCGTTTGATATAGCTGGTTTCGCTTGATATTTCTCAATGAAAGGTTCACTCGTAAAGGGTCGCTCGTAAATTGATCTCTCGTAAAGTTCGCGGACCGACCCGTTTTTAAAAGTTTTTAGTGTGAGTCTACCGCGAATGGTGTGTGACTTTGTATGTATAATGGGCGTAATAGGCATCGAATTTCTTTCGCGTACATCAAGCCAGGAATTGTCCACAAAGGCAGCCATTGCTTTCATTCTACGCATGCGCTACACTTCACTTCACTTCACTTCACTTCACTGTAATGGAACTGCGTTTTGTGACTGAACGCAAAAGAAAAAAAACTAGACTCTGAGCAGGGTAACTGGGATACCTGGATGGTACTGGATCCTTGGAATCAAGTGTAATGATACTACAACACAACAACACAGTAGTGTTGTTCAATAGATTGCATAGTGTATATGCAGTTTGGTTTCAGATTTCAGACGTTGCTTTTTACAACAAGTGTACGTTTTCAACTAAGACATTGGCATACTTGGCATACAAGGCCTCCAAGGCATTCAAGGCTTTCATGGCTTTCAAGCGTTCGCGACTAAATCCGTTCCAAAATTACTTCTCAGTAACATCTTTTAGTGTGGATTGGCCGCGAAAAATACGACTTATGTATGCATCTTTCAGTATTTTATTTTGAGCATTTGCGCCATAATGCTCTAGGTGATCGTAATCCAAACACGTTGAAATACAAAACGACTGACAAAAGAGTTTTACAAGCAAAAATCTCGTGGTTCGTCATGTGACCCGGCCCTGTCCATGCATGACAACGTCAATCGTCATCAAGATAACACGCGTGATCAGCATGTGAACACCTCATTAGATCACAGTTAGTTGTCATGTGTTGAGGGCCAATGACCACTGGACAGGATACTACTGCGCAATTTTTCCATTTTGTGGCGGAGGAAAAAAAAAGACGACAAAAACACAAAGGCATTTTATGACCGGGCTACCACAGGTATCCCAGTAATTACCGCTCAATAACATCTTTTAGTGCAGATTAGCCGCGAATAATACGACTTGTATATGCGTCTGTAAGTATTTTGAGCGTTTGCGCCATAATGCTTCAGGAGATCGCAATCCAAATACCGTTGAAATACAAAACGACTGACAAAAGAGTTTTATAAGCAAAAATCTCGTGATTCGTTCTATTACCTCAGTAGTAAAAGACCTAAAGAACTTTACAAAATGAACCATCAAGTTACAAAAAATAACAAAGTAAAATAACAAACTC